GTCACTGCGGCGGCGGATGCTCTCCTTCTTCTCACACACACACACACACACAGTACAGGAAAAGAGAGAGAGAGAGAGACTGACTGGCAGAGAAAGAAACCTCCAGGAACAACCTGGAGTTGCCACCCCTTATCCAGAGCTGCAGTGGTTCAAAGTGAGCACGGTGGCCTACATTACAGTGACAGTGACTTATACAGTATGGTACAGTGTGCGGTGTCCACTTTAAGGCAGCACAGTGGCACTGACGTATTAGGGCAAAGTACTTTACGGTATTTTGTGTTGTGTTACATGTGGGCATGCGTGTGTGAGGGCTTTGCATGTTGACCTTTTAACCTTCAGTGAAATAGGGCGGGGGTGAGCGAGTGGATGTCCTGTCCTATTTCATGCATTCTCCGGTTTGTGGCATTAAACCTGGAATACTTCGCTTATACTGTCAAAGTAATGATATCTTGGCAGCGTAATTTTTCAGGATTTTCTTCCTCCTGTTCTTCTTTTCATTTCTATATAATAAGGCCACTCACCTGGTGCAGACAGCCATGATAAAGACGCAGAAACAAGCCCCATTTTTAGACTTATTTAGACTGTGAATAAATATATATATATATATATGGACATCTGTTTCTTCATCTCTCCACAGTTTGCAAAAGTAATCTGAATCACTTCCGAGCGATGCAATTACACAAACCTCCTCTGTTTTTGAGCTTAATGTGCCTGTAATATTTCAGTTAATTATGTGAACAAAGTGTTTGGAAAAGAAAAAAAAGAAGCTGTGAACACTGAAAACTGAGAATCACCTGTTTGGAGTAGCAATTATTTTGTAGCTTATTTGTGACTAATATGTGTAGATATGTGTGTGTGTGTGGCCGCTACCTCTTCTCTTTTATTTATCTCCTGTCTTTGTTGTCTCATTTCGCCTTGACCCAAACCCAGCAGTCAGCCTAATTTAAAAAAACACCACACAAATTTGTTTTGATGCTCTGTTTCAAGGTTATTAATGCATTTTAAAATGATTTTCTTTTTTAGGTGTGTTACTATTGTTTAAAATTGTATTTATCATCCGAGCTTTAGGCGGCCAGACGTTTAACAGTGTGACCACGGGCTCGGGTCGGGCCCACAGTATAGCAGTATGGTAAAAGAGCAGTGCAGTCAGGTGAAGGCTGACTAATCAAGCGTTGAGAGAGGGATGAGAATTGAGTCTAGGCCATTTCTCACTTCTAAGAGTACCATGGATCATTTCTTGCAATCCCTTTGTGGGCACAAAGAGGCATCAGTCAGTGGAGAAGCTGTGACAGAATTTCTGCGGCCTGCCACCTGACCAACACCTCTTACTGCCGGAGACTTCATTAACAGATACGGATCTAGAGGCTCAAGGACTTGTTCCCAGCAAACCCCTTAACCTCAACAGAATGCCAGCCGTAGAGCCTTATCCCAGCCCTTTTCCCTGTTGTTTCTCCGCAGATCCTATCAAGCTGGAGTGAGACAAACTATACGGTGGCAGCTTAGCGATTCTTTTCACCTCTTCCATCCCTTGCCAATATGGATAGCGAGAGCGTCTGACACACTGCTTACTTCAAAAAGATGCATCGCGTCTTTGGCTGAAGCTTTATCAGTAACCCATTGGCTGAAAATCAATAGGAAAGGGGGAGAGGGAGGGAACAGGTGGGCATTAGTGAGCATGCTCCAAAAGACTGCGCAAATCTGTGTGCCCAACAGATAACAAGAGAAACAGAGGACGGCGGAGGGGAGGAGGAGGTGGTGGTGGTGGTGGTTGAGAGGCTGCCTTAAAACACAATCCAAGCGTGCCGTATTGAAGGGGTTTCAGTCAATGATTTGAAGTCAATTAGCGAGTGAGAAAGGGCGGGGCCGGGGACAGGGAGACGGCAGCACTTATGACGGGACATCTTCACAGCTCATTTGCAACAAGGCGACATACAGCGGGATTCAAAGCGTACCACTGACTCAGCTGCGGGAGATAAGACAGCAGCCACCTCAGAGAAAAGATTCATATTAACCTCACTGATGTTGTCAGAGGAGGACGACTGCCTGGGTGCTTGTCTTCAGCGGTTAACACATTGGCCATTCCGCTCCACCCCTCAGCCCTCCACACTAAACCTAAAGCAGCTGAATGGCTGATAGCATTATGTTAATTCCAGACTTTCCACCCCTTTTGCTGGTAACACTGAAGAGGAGGAGGAGGAGGAGAGACAGAAGAAAAGTAAGTAGTTGTTAGTGTTTGTATGTGCCTGGTTATCAGGCACATTAAAGGCTTCAGAAACAGCCACTAGCCTCTTATGAGGCCACTAGCACGGCCAGAGCCACACTGTGCCGGGGAAATAATAAGAGTCTGCTCTGTTTCAACCCACACATACTGTAACAACCAAGAACATTCTGTTTTGCCAAAGCAAAGAGCCGCATCCACATTATGTTGGTGATTGAATATTCAGTAGCATATCGCTCGCACATTTTTCTTGAAGAAACACTTCAGTTCCATCTGTTTGTGTGGAGGCCTACCTGTGCTCATTCACTGCCAGGTGTGCTGCTAGAAAACACTAGTACCTCTTCATCCATGCATTTAGAAGTGAGGAAACTCCACATGTCACTGGAGGTTTTTCATTTATGCAACATTGCAGTATTCCCTATACCTTCATTTAGATATAGTGCATGCTATTTATAAAAAGTCACATATTTCAAAAATTCAAACGAACTCCTGAGAAAACTGACTCTTACTCAACCTGTATTCCATTAAATATCCATTAAATATGCCAGTAAGTGCTTCACAGCACATTATTAACGGTCTCTTGATGTTACAGGATGTCCAGCTTGGAGGTTGTAAATGATGCCTTGGTGTTCCTGTCAATTCACCATGCTCCATAATTATCACAGGGGTCAAACAATAATTCCCTCTTTATCCCCAAATAGCCACAGCAGGAGCACGTTTGTACTGCACCATAAAACTTTTAAATGACCAGTGCCCTGCAGGAATGAATAGCATCTGTCAAAACCAGTGCAAAATAAAGAGGACAAGTGCTTGTATGAAGAGCAGCAGTGTAGCATCACAGGTAAGGTGTTTCACAGATCGTTTATGGTCGCTGGATGACGTAGAGATCAGTCATATTGTTCAGAAGTGCACTGAGACACACAGCATCCGCAAAAAACAGAAATAAATACAAATCTGTCTGATTTGCCATTGTTCGGTGGTATTTTGCAGTTTAATTCTGGCAGCACTTGTTTTGCTGAAGTGGGCTCGTGTCGTACGTCATGTCATGATGAAGCACATTTTTCTTCTTCTTATTTAAACACAACATTTTTTTTTTTTCTTTCTTTCTCTTGATTAATGTCAGATTAAGATGATAAATGCAACTTGCAGATGAGTATGTAAGGAAAGGAAACCCACAAACTGTAGAACTGTGGGATACATGTATTTTTCCCCTTCACAGTCACTGAGAAATCAATGTTAAGAACTAAGCTGAGGCATCAAAGACCAACAGCCTATCTGACCTGCATAGAGCCCCACTGTGGGGTATAACGCAGCATTGTACACCAGTGACTTAAAGACCCATTCATGCAGACACTAAGTAAATGCATAGGACCGTAAGATGGGGGGTTCGGGGTAGGATACGATTTACAATACTGCCTCCAGCCTTCACGATTAAACAACTTACACACAAATGGAAATATATTAAGAGAGAAGAAAAAACATCAGATGAAAGTGTTTCTGATTAGAGAAATACAAACCAAAGGTTTTTTATTTTTCATAGCCTCCTTTGTCTCTCCATAAAAATAGTGTTGCTAAAAATAAAATGTTAAAAGAAAAAGAAACACAAAGTAATGTTTCAATGTAGTCCATGGAAAAGCCCCGGTATCAGACATTCACTTTGTTTCACTTCAATCCTCTCTGTTTTTCTCCAAAAGCAGAACGGTCAGCAAAGCCCTGTATCACTGCACCACATGTCTGTTCCTTTGAAAAATTAGCATCGGAATGAGCCCTTGCAGAGACAAGTCAGGCAACTGCTGTAATGCATTACTAAATTAGCCCTAAACACTACACAAGCCATTAAGAAGCATGTCAAAAACCTAAGGGGAAAAAAACCAACCAACCAACCAACCAACAAAAAAAACAATACAAAATGCAACCAATAACAGAAAACAACCTATTTGCAACAACTGTTATTAGCCTGCATTCCACCTTTGCCAGTTGAAACAGTGGGGAATCGTGTGCACACTAAATAAACATGTTTAGATACGCTACAACTAAGAAGCACTGGCACTGTCAAATAAACACAGCTTAGCTCCAGCGAACAGAGGGTTAAACCTTAGCTGCAGAAATTCACTGCAGTCCAAAAGCATTTGGCTGATAGCTACTGAACAGCACATTTTATCTGTGCCATTATGCTGCTATTGGACAAATGTTTGTATCTATCTAGATTTTGCTTGTGTGTCTTTTTGTGTTCCTTAGTCTGGAAATACCATTTTATTGCATATAATATTTGGCACAGTAAAAAGTGGAGCTTACATTTGGGGCTGTATTTAGAAACTGGTGCCTTTATAAAGATTTTTTTTTTTTTTTCCTTGCCTCCTAAATATGGTCAAAAACAAACTAAATGCCTCTTTTCCTACAGTAGACAGTACCACCTTCTATTTTCAGTCCAAAAAAAAGCAATTCATTGTCTTTTTTTCTTTTTTCTTTTTTTTTTTTTTAAATAGAAGTCACCAGTTAATTGAAAATAGTTTCAAATTACTTTCTTTTCTAATATAATCTGCATGTCTCACCACTGCCTGACGGTAGTTTCATTTTATATATATTTATTTTATTTTTTTTTTCATATTTATATACTTATGTATAGGCATGTACAAGAAACAAAAAACTGTCTCTGTTTTGCACTTCTGTACAAAAGAAAGTTACCGTTTTGTTCTTTGTGCATTCTATTGCATGGACTGGTGAGCAGATAGGAGAGGAGAGGTTTGGGCAGAGTCAGAGATAGATCCACAGGGAGCATTACTCAGATCTGAGTCTCTTGAACCTTCTCCTTGCCGTGACTAGTCTTAATAACGTATGGATCAGCAATGGTGCTGATGTGGCTGTGATGCTGTCTGACTGAGCGATGAAGAGAGTTGTTCTGGGTCCAGTGGGCTCCATAGCCCCCCTGGCGGGATGAGGTGGAAGAGGACACATACCCAGGCTTAAAGGTGTTGCTGTTATGTTCCACTAATGTAGGCAGTACCAACCCTGTGTCGTCAGAGCCACTAGATCCAGACGTGGGTGGTGGAACAGGAGGAACTTCTTCCTCCATCTGTATGATTTCTATGGTCCTGGCTGCTGCCACCGTGCTCCTCTGTTGATGCCTCTTACGCAACTTATAGAATGCAATCAACATGGCAGCTGCCAGCAAGGTAACAGCAACAAAACAGCCAATGATGATCTTGGTGGTTTTCATCACCTCATCCAGGCTTGCGGCTGGCCCACTAGGGACTCTGGCAGTAGGAATCGACACCTGCCTTGGAGTCTGAGTGTTTTGGAACAGCACAGTAGGTGTGGAGATAAAGACAGGTTGAAAGACAGAGGGTGAGGCGGGGACAGTAGGCTTGGGTTTAGGGGTCTCCTCCACTGTGGGCTCCAAAACTTCCACTGTTACGGTGGTGAAGTAGGACAGATTGGATGTGTTGAGTTCGGCATTGCTGACGTTTAAGTAGGCCGATGCGTTGGAATTTCCCGCCATGTTGCTCACCATGCAGGTGTAGACGCCCGTGTCTGACGGGAGAACGTTGGAGAAGTTGAGCGTTCCATCGTTGAGGACGGATATCCTCGGGTGAGCCGAACCGTGGGTCAGTACAGTCCCATTGGGGAGAAGCCATCGGACTGAGCTCATGGCGGCCGTGCGACACTTCAGTTCCGCCACCCTCGCCGCCGAAATGTTCAGATCTCTCGGAGCGTCGAGTATGAACGGCGCCGAACACTGAAAGGTCGTCTGATCGACCTCCACCAGGTACCGTCCTCTCATGTGGACTGGGGTGTGGCAGCGTCCACAGCAGGTGGAATTCGTGGGAATGTATTCTCTGAGCCACCAAGAGAGCCACACTACATCACAGTCACATCGCCAAGGGTTGTGGTGTAAGTGTAGCTCCACCAGGTACTGTAGAGGGGTGAAGAGGTTGTGGGGCAGGGACGACAGGTTGTTGTGGGCTAAATTGAGCTCCACCAAGGCTGTGATGTCATCAAACGCATTCCTTTCGATGGTAGTAATGGCCGAGTTCATAATCCACAGTTTGCGTAAATTCTTGAGCCCGCGGAAGGCCCCGGGCTTCAGTTCAGGAAAAACATTCTCTGATATCTCTAACTCCTCCAATCCCACCAGAGGCGACAGATGAGGAAACTCCCTCAGATTGCACATCCCCAAGTTCAGGTACTTGAGGTTGTGGAGGCCCTCGAACGCCCCATCAGAGATGTACTCCAACTTCCTCAGCTCTCCCAGGTCCAGTCTCATGAGAGAGGGGACGCGGTTAAAGGCGTAGGAGGGGATGCTCTCAATGGGATTGTTTCTAAGCCACAATTCTCTCAACTTTGACAGATACTCAAAAGCCCCGCTGGGTATGACTGTCAGTCTGTTGTCGAAAAGCTCCAGGGTATTGAGACTGGTCAGGCCATTGAAAGCCCCCACTTCGATCTGCCTGATAGCGTTCCTGCCCAACTGTAGTACCTCCAGGTGATGCAGGTGTCTGAAGGTATCTGCCTGTATGGTCTCTATGCTGTTCTCCATCAGGTTCAGGTACCTGGTGTTGGCTGGGATGTTCGGCGGGACCCTAATCAGGCCTCTGCGGGTGCACACCACCTTGCTGAGCTGGTTAGTGCAGGAGCACACACCTGGACAGTTCTGTGGGTTAACTGAGCCCAACTCAGGACCTGTGGACTGGCACATACTGAGAGCAGGCACCATGAGTGAGAGCACGGCAAGCAGGGCTGCGTTCCAGGTAGGCTGCACACTAACCTGGCCCAGAGGACTCATGGTGTGGAGGGCTCATTATTCTGCATGGTGGGGGGAGACGGCACACACCAAAGGACAGACCACCCTAGCCTGGCTGGAGCAACTCAAGGCTCCCAAGTTCCATCGACAGTGCAGGGAGATGCTACATCAAAATTGTAGTGTGAGGGAATGAGGGGAGGAAGAAAAAAAAAAAAGAAAAGAGGAACAGACAGGGAGACAGAGTGAGAGAGATTAATACAAGAGAAGTAGCAGGAGGAAAAAAGCAGCACAGCAATGTAAGAAAAAAAAGGTTGAGTAACAGTATATCAGTGACGTACCTCATTAGTTTGAAAGTGCTCCTTTTTTTTTTTGCCTCTTTCCAAATGTTAAAACCAACAGTCATGCATCACATTCATTAATAAATCCTCTCCATTGAGCGGCAACGAGACTGACGTTCTCTCGCTTTCCTTTTCTTTTTTTGAAAAAGTGAGGTGGCCCTCTATTAGCCAAGGGTACAAAATGGCTCCTGGTATTAAAGACTGATAACAGCATGGAAAACACTCACAGGCAGAGGTAAGGCCATGAAGGCTTGGCAGGTGCCTGGATCCCTTCTGCCCCCACTAACTGCCCCCCTGCCAGGCTGCAGACTCCAAAACGCAGCTCCACTGAGGATAAATCACAATGATCCATAGCGCGTCAGAGGAGGAGAGAAGAAGAAGAAGAAGAAGTGAAATCAAATTTCTTTCTCAAAAAGAAAAGAAAATCCCCTCTTCTGTCGGCTCCTGATACATGTGTTGGCTCGTCGGCTGGTCGCCTGTTTTTTTTTTTTTCTTTCTTTCTTTTTTTTTTTTAAAGGGGGGGTGGTGGTGGGAGAGAGAGAGAGAGACCTCCCTCACTGTGACTTTGCCAAGGGCTTGTCGGTCGCTGATTAGCCCTGTTGTGACAGAGACTGAGAGACAGGAGAAGAGAGAGGAGGAAAAAAAAAAGAAAAAAAAGGCTTTAAAAAACTCCCGGCACAGTCATCTCCTCTCTCTCCTCTCTCTCCTCTCTCCTCCTCCTCCTTGTGCAGCTCTCTCTTTTGCTTCCTTTCCCCCCAACGCTTGGGCTGGCCCTGGTCAGAGCAGCTGCAGGCTGCCGTGTGCACAGTTAGCAGTAATCCGTCTATTCCTCCGGGGGGGAGGGGGGCTGGGGGTGGTGGTGGTGGGAGAGATGGTGGCGCTGTGCGGGGGGTGGTGGTGGTGGTGGTGGAGGAGGAGGAGGAGAAGAAGAAGAAGAGGATGCGCTGCGCCGCTGGAGCTTCGCAAGAGGCTGTCGGAGGAGAGAGAGAGCGCGCGCCTCCCGTCCTCTTCTGCAACGAGAGAAAAGAGAGAGGAGGATGGTGGTGGTGGTGGTGGTGACGCCGGGAGGATGTGTGTGGAAGTGGGCTCCGTATCTGTATCCATAAGCAGAGAGAAGAAGAAGAAGAAAAAACAAAAAGAAGAAGAAGGTGTTGAGGATTCTTCTCCAAACCCCCACACCCACCCACCCCCCGGCTCGCTGTTTTGTCCCTCAGGCTGTCTCCTGCAGTGTTCTCCTGCGCGCTTTATTTGTTAGTTTTTTTTCTCCTCTCTCCAGGGCTGAGGTAGTAAGTTGTGGCAGTTGGCCATGTGTGTGGCTGTCAGACTTGCGGCTGGCTGGTGGACTACTGCAGTAGCCAGAGTAGAACAGAGAGAGAGAGAGAGAGAGGGAGGGAGAGAGAGGGAGAGAGAGAGAGAGAGAGGGAGGGAGAGCTTGAAAGAGAAGGAGAGTGAGAAGCACTGACAGATCAAGAGCAGGAGAAAGATAGAGTGTGCGAAGGAGAGAGAGAGAGTGTGTGTGAGAGAGAGAGATGCTCTAACAGGCAGCCCACCGTCACAGAAACAGCAGGAGCAGCATTCTAATCCACATCTCCTCTTCTTGTTTATTCTCCAGTCTCTCTCTCTCTCTCTCTCTCTTTTTTTTTTTCCTCTATTCCCCCCCTCGATGTGTGTCGGTGTTGCAGGCAGCTAAGATGCTCGCTCTGCCCCCTCCCTTTGTCCTTCAGTGGGAACGTGAATGTACTGCTGACGCACTCCTCTCAGCTGCTCAGCCAGCCTCAGAGCAGTGCACTGGTTTTGATGCAGTGTTCCTGTGTATTAACACATTCAACCTCCTCCTCCTCCTCCTCCTCCTCCTCCCGTATCCCCTCCTCTCTCCCTCCCCTCCACTGTATTTATCTTCTCCCCCCTCTCTCTCTCTCTCTCTTTCATTCTCACGTGTTCAGCCCCTCACCTTCTTCCTTTCCTTTCCCTTCACGCCGCTCTCACTCCTTTCTCCAGATCACTTTACCTGGTTTCCCTTTGCTCTTGTTTGTCTGTCTAGACGGCACCTCTCCACAACCGGTCGTTAAAATTAAAAACCTCCCATTCCAATGTATCATTCAAGAGACAAAAGGTCAGACTTTCTACTCCAGCTCCGGAGTGGTTCTGTGTTCTCTCTCTCTCCCTCTCTCTCTCGCCCTCTGTATCTCATGAGCGCAGCAGTGCGCCAGAGTTCTCCAGTGGAGATGCAGCTTGCTGCTATTCCTCACCTCTTTTGTAAGGCACAGTTTGGTGAGTGTTTCCCCCCTCATGCATTAGCACCGTCAGGGACAAGCAGACAGAGCTGTTTGTTGCATTCCGTGTTTTGTCAGCTGTGTGGGATTTATTAACATGTGTGTGAGTGTTTCAGAGGTGGTGGTGGTGGTGGTGGTGGTGGTGGGTGAGTATGAGGGGAGGCTGGGTCGGGGGGGTCCGTGACATCATACAGGACTGAAATGCTGACTCTGCTTCTCTGTGTCTGCTGGGCAGTCTTCTCTTCAGGGAGGAGAAAGATGAAAGAGCTTGCACACAGTTATCTCTTGGAAAGATGAGAGAAAGACAGAGAGATAGAGGGAGAGAGACTTACCAAGAGAGAGTGAGGGTGTTGGGGAGGAGAGGAGAGGCTGGGGGGGAGGAGGAGATATATCCACGTCCTTGGTGAAATAGGGGAAAAGGAGCCTATAGAAAGAGGAGTGAAATGAGATAAATAGGGATGGAGGAGAAGAATGAGGGAGACGGATGAGGGAGCGCACTGCATAGTAGTCTCCTCGGTGAAATGGCACAGAAAGGATGAGGAGGGAGAAAAAGAAGGATGAGGATTAGGGGTGAGGGGCAGGATGGACGAGAGGAGTGTTGATAGTGTTGGATTAAGCATCATTTGAATGCAGGAGAAGGAGTCTCCCTCTCTGCCTTTGGTTAATGACCACATTCTCTCTCTATCTCTTCCTCCTCCTCCTCCTCCTCTATGCTGCCACATACATATTGCTGTTGGGTCTATAGAAAGAAAAAGGAAACACCTCAAAGCAAACAGCAATAAATATCCCCCCTTTGCACTTTCTCCAATTCGTTGAAATAAAAAAAAAAACGAGTGGAATTTTAAATCTCACCATGTTAAAGATAGTTATTGAAAAATTAATGGTGCGTGTCGCTGGACCATAAAGAGGATGGAGCGATAAAGAAGCTTGTTTAAAACGGGGAAGTTTGTAGAACCGGAGTTTCTGTTTCTGTGTGCGATCCCCATGTTTCTGTTAACATATATGAGCATAAATAAAACATCACGCTAAATAAATGATTAGGCTCAATATTATCTCCTGGACGCGTATAAATAAAATAGTAAAGAACGTTTCCCATCTCCATGCATTTTTTTTTTTATTCCTGCAGCATTTTGTGTCACCAGTCAGAAAACATTAGCTGTTCCTCGTCAGAAAACATGGATGTAATGTACTTATATATGATGATATATGCTGAGCGTGAAGTGTGTTTCTTCTTTTTTTTTCAGCAGATCAAGATGATTGACAGAATGACAGAATTCTGGCCCAAATATGCTTTTTTTTTTTAAATTGTGTGTATTTTTGATTCCTCGTGCCTGCATTATTTCACCTCACTAACAGAAGACTTTCTTTTCTCTAAAACTGCAGAAGAAGGATAATCACGGCATGTTAAATTCATTGGATTATTTTCTGTTTGTCAGCCTAAAAAAAAAAAAAAAAACTGCTCAGGTAAGACCAACGCTATCGCCAAAGCTCCCCTGCCTGTCCTTCATCGCCCTACAATATTTAGTAGTAAAACCATTGTGCAGCGAGCAACAAAGGGAATAAATGAAACTTGTATCTCAGTTTATTTTATACATCAAAGAATGACTTTGAGAGGGGCAAAAAAACAGATAAAAAAAACAAAGACGGAATGAAAGAAAAGAAAAAACACTCACATCTGGAGGTAACTTGCTCGAGAGGCTGGAGAAGAATTTAGAAAAAAACGTGCCGAGTGCCAGCGTATATTCTGTTTCGATTAGATGCGGCGCTTTAAGATTGGAGGCGATAAAGAAACAGTGAGAAAAGAAGAGTACGGCGGCGGGGATGAGGGGGGAGATAACTATTAGTTAAGGTGGTGCAGGCAGGGTTGGTCAGATAATTGATGGCCGTGGTTGTAGCTGCTGTGTTAATGCTATTACAGGGGGCATGAGCATGGAAAGGTCAGTTAGCACACACTGAATATATAACATTTCCTCCTGCTGTCTCTCTGTCCTCACCTCTCTTTTTTTTCTTTGTCCGATCACATGCGTCCATAGATTTAGGGTGTCGGATTGAGGAGTATCAGCCACAGCTGCCGAAGGCCGGTCCCTTCCCTATAAATATGTGAAATGAGGCTTCGGGGTGAGGATTTATTGCCATCTGAAAATAAATATATAGTGCGCAGTAAATCATAAGCAGTTTCGTGGAATTACTCTGTAGTAAGATATAGCATCTTGTGTTGCAGTGTGTCAATTACGTAACGTTGATAAATTTTTTTTAAAAATCTGGTGAAAATGTCGTATATTATATTATGAGCTGGGTTGGTTATCTGTTTTGCTAATGTCAGTTTCTGGGGCTTTCAAATTGGATTTTCTAAACGATGACATGGAGGTATTTTGCTCCTGAAGTATGAGGTCGCAGTTAGAAGGACGTTTAATTGTGGTGTGGAGGAGCT